GGAGCTGCCTTTGAGTTGCTACGTCTTCCCCCAAGGAGTTCCTCTCTCAGTGGTAATATCAAATTGAATCCAACTTTTTCCTCGAATAAATACAACTGGATATACCCATAGTGAAGGCAAATTATGATTTTATGATTACAGTAGAGAAACCCAGTAAACAAACCAACAGCAGCTCTGTCACTTACACATTATTCAGATTTCTCAATTATAACAAAATGGCCCGAGTCCACATCGGGATGCCCTGTGAGGACCATTTTCTATGGATTCATACTTGTTAATGTGTCTACTCTGTCCATGGCATTTATATTTTGACCTGGAAAATTTCTTTCTAGCCTCTACAGCCGACTCACACAGGACATAATTTCTTAGAATGCACCATGGCTGGACAGAATCCTTTTTACACAGCAGGACACCTGTGATGGTTATCAGTATGTGGAAGAGAAATATCTCATGTTCACAACAGGCTCTATACGGTGACAGCCTACTCAGATACTTTTTGCTATGGTTAGACAGAGGGCATTTTAAAAGAGAAATCTTGCTTATTAAAAGCTCTGATATAGCAATAATCACAAAGATATTTAGTACTATTCACTAGGATGCTTCAGCAGAAATAATCCCACTGCCTTGGAGGGCCACTTTATCATGAAAATCTAGGCAAAATCTTCATATTTCCTTTTATTTTTTTATTAGTGAATTTTATTGGTGCATTTTAGGTACTCACTATGATGACATTCATCATTGGGAATTTGTACCCTTGGTTCTTCTTTACAGATAGTGTGAAACAGTGAGAATAGGTCCAAAGGGAAAGGAAAGTGGGAGGGGTAGGGGAAAGGAAGAAGGGAAGGGAATAAATGTGAAAAAAGGAAAAAACTGAAACAAAAGTATTTGCAAATAGGGAGCCATGGAGGAGTTGGGGTGAGAGCAGGGGAATGGGGAAAAATAAGAACAAAAATACATCTTTTAAAAATATATATAAAGGGGGCAGGGGATTTAGCTTAGTGGTTCTGCCATCTGCCTTGCAAGGCATGAGGTCCCAAGTTCAATCCCCGGTAAATAATAAATAAAAATAAATAAATAAAACATATATGAAGAATGATAGTCATTTTGGGGAACTGGTACATGCATTTAACATATTATGATCATTTTCATTTCCTTTATTCCCCTTTCCTGATTGATTCCCTTCCCCGTCTTCAAGAGTGTACCTTCTAATTTTCTGTCATCTCTCTTTTATTTTATTAATTAATTTATGTCAGGTTTCTCATGTAAGAGAAAACATGCACTACTCAACTTACTGAGTCTAACATCACCTAACAGCATGATCTGTAGTTCCACCCACCCTCCTACAAGTGACATGATTTAACTCTCCTTTGTGCCTGAATAATATTCCACGGTGTATTTGTACCACATTTTCTTTCCAGCCACCTGTCAATAGGCATCTCAGTTGTGTCCACAGCTCAGCTTCTGTGAACCAGGTTGCTGTAAACACGGGTCTGCATGTACCACTGTTGCCATCTGTTTATAGTCACGAGTGGTACAGCTAGATCAAACAGTATTTCTGTTTTTAGTGTTTCAAGGATTTTCACAGGAAGGATTTCCAGGGAGGTTTTGCGTGCTTACATTCCCATCACAGTATAGGAAGTTCCTTTTCCCCAAGAGCCTCCCCAGTATTCACTGTTTTCTGGAATCTTAATGATAGCAAGATATTTGTAAACTTTGTGACGTAATCTGGCTGGGGTGAGATGGAATCTCCGTGTAAAACATCAAGCTTCAAATGGCTATTGATTCACTGTTTCTGAAGGATAGCAAAGAATTGTTTTAGGAAAATAACCATTGCTAGTCTTTTATATTTCATTAGCTAGAATATAATTTAAACACAAAATATTTTATTTTGAGTGAGAACTATGGTCTACATATGCAAAAACACATTTAGGTCCGTTAAGTGGTGACACTGCCATATGCTTGTCCATACACAGCACTGAGAAGCTTCGTGTCTTTTCCTGAAGCAGACCGGCACACCCTCAGCCTCCTCAGTGTGTATGTGACACACGTTTCTCTCAAGAATCCACTTCTGGATTCCACCCTCAGAGTTATTCTGGGGCCTGTTGACAGCCTACATAGCCTGTAAAAGCCTATGTGTGTTTGATAATTCTCTTCACTGCTCTTTCTCTTGTTAGGTTTCTGTCCATTCGCCATTCACTGTTACAGAAAGCCCTCTGGGGTACTGGCCCTGCAGGTCTCCACAGCAGCCTAAACCACACTGCTGAACATGAACTTCCTCCAAGGACCACACTGCCAAAGTCAAATCCCATCCAAAGCCTGCTCTTTAGCCTTCACTATGTTTTGAAAAAGTGGTTGAAGTCTAAGTCATTGCCCTTCTCGGAAGCAAAACATGGGACACTCAGAGCTACCTGTTCCCATGCCCTTTGGAGAATGCTACTGGAGATGCTCACTGTGGCCCTGAATTCTGAACCTCCTTATTCATAAACCCCTGCCAGTCCTCCTACACCCACGGAGGACTCCACCCATGCTTCATCTTGGAAAGAGGCTGGTCCTCCAAACAAAACAGCATGCAGATTTGGGAAGGTGATTATGCAAAGTGGGTTGGGGAACACCATATGCTGTCTGAATCCAGTGAGGAAAACTGTGTGGGCTTTTGTCACATGGTGCTCTGAGCACTGGTCTTCATGTCCATGGAGATCCTAAGAATAGGTGCTTTATCCCAGCTGTAGCACCCAGCCACTGACAGGAGAACACAGGCTTCCTGTACTCCTACTTTGTGCATCAGAATGCCCAGCAGAGCTTGAAAACTTGTACTGGTAAATAGGATTGAAATCCAGTGCTGTTGTCAAAATGACTAACAATAGTAAAGACACCTGTTCAAGTTATTTCTTTTTCAAGGAAGATTAGTCAATGAATACTTAATACAATAATTAATTGACCAAAGAATGCTTAACTAACTGGTTATTGTTTGAGCACCAAGTATGGTTCTGCAATGAAGCTGAAATTCTTAAGTCCACTTTTCTTTCTAAATTCAAAAAAACTTGATAATTGCAAGTTATTATTAATATTTTATAGCTGAAGAAACTAGAACTTTGGAAAGACTAAGTGATATATTGATGGTCCAAAACTTAAAGTTTGAAAGTTAAGATGTAAGCGTGGGATAAGAGGATAAGAAATCCTACAGTGTCACTCACTGGTACACTGGAAAAAATAATCCATGAAGTCCTATAAGTACAGACTGGAAATTGATGGTCTGTGTAAATCACAGACATCTAAAACTGGTGGCCATAAATTAAGGGATGGGGAGATGAAATATTAGAGGTGCTGACTTGTAATGAAGGGGATAATAATTTTGGGTAGAAATCTTTATTTCAGCACAGTCTAAAGCTGAATGCTACTTGTAAGGGCAAGGGGAAGTTTGTTTTCAAGAACTGAAAGTCTGAAAACCACCCAACTGTGTATGCCCTTCATGACAGTCATGGTGCACCAACCATGGCTAGTTTAACGGATGATGATTCACCAAGCAAACTCTCTTGTTAGCACTTTGGTAGCTTGACAGACACCAAAAGACCATGGCACGTTTGTCCAGCACAATCTAAGCTGTACTTGGGGTGAGTCTCCTACCCAAACCCGACCAGAGGTAGCCCGTGGATGACTAACAGGTGAGTGAGAGAACTGAAGGAGGTGAGCAAATGACATGTGAGGACCGCACTGTGAGTTCATTCCCTAGGAAGTTGCCACTGAGAAGGAGACTGTGGCCATGCACCTATGTCCTCTGGTATCCAGCCCACACGGGTCCTATATACGTTGGAAATGAGAATCCACAGTGACAAAGAGGAGAAGCTTTAAAAAATCCCCCAAATCAGAGAGAGGGATCAAGGCAGCTTGAAGAGCCAACCATGCTATCAAGTCACAAATGCCAGGCTTCTGCTGCTCCGACATTTCGGTCACTGTTGTAGAACAACCATTGATAGTGACCGCAGCTCACAGTCCTGTGACACTGTGACTTATGCTTGTGACCCCCTGTGTTCCTGACTCTTCCTAAGACCTGCTGAGGAAATTGGGGGTTCCCCGGAGGCACAGCAGCCTTCCTAAGGAGCGGCCACACTTGCATCTCCTGTGAAACCCGAGGGAAAAATGTTCTTCCTCTAGCAAAAACCAAACTTCCCAGCTCTATAGAAAAGCCAAAAGGTTACTCTGTGGACTGCAATTCAGGGCCCTTGTGCCTCTGTGTGCTTGGATCCCGAGACCAGCACATTGGGTGAGCATTGTGTTGTCGCTCTTATTTATTTTTATTAGTACACATGGTGACTAATGCTTTGAAGTGTGTATGGATTCATTCTCATCCGAAGTTTGCAGAGAGAAAAAATCATTTATACTTGCAGTATAACTACACAAATATTTCATATGCTGAAAATGTTACCTAACCTCAGAGACCTAGCAATGTTTCTCTCTGTGTGCTCCCCACTCCATGTCTCTTCTTACTAACTGAGATGTCTTAACTGAGACACTGAGCCACAGAGAGTTCACTTTCTGGGAAAGACAGTGAACAGTGACCACAGGAAGGGAGCCTCCAAAGGGTTATGAAAACATTTTGCAAAAATTCAGTGCATGACCCGGAAGAGGATGAGACTATCAGCACCCTGGCTTCCAGGTCAGCTTCACCCGACCCCTCTCCATGAGGAGTGTCACCCCCCCAAATCACCAGCACGGTTCCTAGAGGGGAGCACGACGAAATCTGGCTACAGTCTAATTACAATTGCAATAGTCATGGTTTGAGGAAAACTCTATACGGAAGAACTTTCACAAAAGATTGATAATTTTCCCTACTCAGATTGGGGAATTAGCTCAAAAAGGTCAAAGGGACACACTGCATGAAGGGTCAGATGACCAGCTGAGCTCTCCTTGTCACGTGGGACTCAGCTGCATTTACATCATCCTGCCGCATAGCTCCACGCTGCGCCCCCTACTGGACTGCTTTCTGCACATTGCTGCATCCCCACCTCCATGGCCACCACTGTGCTTTTCTTGCCAGTGAAGCCTTAGAAAGAGGTCTGCGGGCAATGAGAGGCTGCGGTGAAGTCTTCAGTGTCAGGAGCCAGAGGTCTGGAGGAGGTTTCCAACTTCCCCGGGGTCTCCATCCGTCTGATGTCATGCTCAGTGATCGCCTCACTCTGATCCTGTCTTTGGTTGTAACCTATTTAGAGTTGTTTAGGTCAGAAAAATTGGCAAATGCAACTGCAAATGTCTATACTGTGTTTATGATTTAAATTAAGTTTTCTTGCCCTTAAAATTCCTAGAGCTTTCTCTTATTTATCTTGATGGCATTTGAAGTACAAACAGCTTTAAATGGGATTCCCATCCCATGTACTAACTGGGAATGTTAATACTCTAAGGTGTCACAAAAATAAAGATCGAACTAAGGATATTTTGTGTTCTTGAAAACGGTAAGAGTCGATATTACATGCTCTCATCACAAAAATGGTGACTATGTGAAGTGATGTATTTGTTAACTAGGTTTGGCCATTCTAGTATGAAAAAATATATATATATGCATTAATGTATCGTGTTGTACTGACAATCTGTCAATTTAAAAATAAATCGGTAAATAAAGTATTAGACAAATAAATAAAATGGACTGAAAGTCACATCCCTATTTTTTGGAAAATTAAGCGAAGGGAGCTATTATTATGTTGATAGAAGAATGGTTATTTACAAGTCTTTCTTTCCTATATATTTATAATTTATTTGTAACATTAGCATTTAGTTTTTCTAAATTAATTAGTAAAACACGAGTAAAGAGTTACATACATCTTTAAAAATGGTTTTGGCTTTGAGTTGACCCAGGATCTTCATTTAAGGGAAGTACTTAGCATTCTAAAGGATTAAAACAAGCTGGGTGATTAAAATATAGGCAAGTCCATATGAGCAATTTCTGTTATTCTTGAGTTCATTTTCCACTTTTTCCAGATTATCTTGGGATAAATTAATTAAAGCTACTTCTTGCTGGGCAAAGTCCTTTCCTCATTACTCTGTTTCTGCTCCTCTCTCTCTTCCTATTGACACTGATAGACCATGAGACCTAAAATAGATACTCATTATTTTCCTCTTTCACCCCTCCCCATTCAAAGCAGGGTGTGGCAGTGCTGACTGTGAGTCCCTGTAGCACAGCTCATTACAGCTGCAGAGGTGGTTCAGACTACAAGAGCAGAGATGTTGTGTAGTGAAAGGTCCAGGTAGGATAAAGCACCAACAGGAAAATAAGCATCACATAGGAAATTCTGTCTATTCTACCTTGACTTATAGAAGCACACAACTAATTTGCATATGTACCATGAAGTGGGTAGCAGCCGTCCTGGTGGTTAGAGGAGTTTTATTCATTGTTGCTTTTTCATAAGAATCTGTGAGTAGTAATTGCTCCACTCTTGGATCTGACGGTGCATTTGTTCTGCTGCAAAAGAAACCAGACTTGTCGGTGAAATTATGTAGAAGAAATGGATAGAATTTTGTGGGAAATGTGTTGACGGACTTTGGTGAGGATTTGTGAGTTTGGAAGTATATGCTACTTGAATTGCATCCCAAGCAACATCGCTGCCTCCACTTTGAGAAGTTTAGGAATTGTCATACTGTACTCGCTGAGCAAAAACATGAGTTCTCAGCAAAATACCGCCTATCTTAAAAATGAGAGAAAATTAGAAAAACAGAAGTCAGAGCAATTTCTAACAATCCTGTGAAAGGGAAATCAGTTAACTATCTTGTGACAAGGAGTACCTTGTGATCTGAGAATACAATGAAACAATCTTGTGTACATGGCATTAGTATGCAGTTGGGAACTTATTAGAGTATATCCTAGCTAACTGATTATAATCTATCTTTACTTTTATGATAGAATTTACAAAACAGTTTTGCATCCAGTCTCAGCATAAGGCTCTTTCAGTCAGAAAAGACAAGTATTTCAGTCCTATTATATTTGAAGAAACCAAAAAGATCAGAGAACGTCAGTGATGGCACAGGTCACTGCTCATGAGTGGAAGAAAAGCAACAAAGCATGCCATACTGACTTCAAGTGTGCTGACTCTTTCCCAGTGTTCTTCTAATACTTAGTGTTCATATTGCATCAGCATTTGAGAGGATGGCGATTGATTTCACAGATTGAATTGTTTGGGATGCAAAGGGCTTAATTGTTTGGCTAAACATTATTCTAGGTGATTTCATAGGACTGTTTTTGGATGCCTTTAGTATTTAAATGAATGAACTAAGTAAAATAGAGCCTCTTACTAATATGGATGGCTATCATTTCCATTATAGAAGAGCAGAATGTAGATTTCTGCCATTTGTCAGTCTTCAAACTAGAACATCAATTGCCATTTCTGTAGCTACTTCTGAATGGGGACACTGATCATACAGATTCGGGATTCGGCAGTTTCCATAACTCTACGACAATATTATTTATAATAAATTATGATATACATGTGCGTATAGATGTGTGTGAATATATAGTGTACTTATATGTGTGTGTATATGTATTTATGCATACACTAAAGACATATACATATGTATATTTGACCAAAAATATTTACCCCCTTCAGCAGCCCACTGTACTAACACACATCTGCAAGCTTCTGGCCACCACTGTGAGCACCTCTTGTAATTGTAGAGGCCAAAAGTAACATAATAATCTCATGACGTCTCAATAAATTTCATATTAAAGTATTTATACAATCTTTTTTCCCCTGATGTATACATTTTTGGCAGGCTCTGCATACACAAAAACACACAATTGGAGTATTAGTGTGTATATAGACATGGTTGTAGAAGGAGATAGATACATGCTACTGTCTCTCTTCTGCTGGGGAATCCTAAGCCAATAGCTTTTTAGAAGCAGCAGAATTCTGATTGTCATACTAAAATTTCACTGTTTGGACTTGTAAAACCTAACAGAGGAACAACATTGCTTGGATTTAATGAACAAAAGAATAATCACATATCATTTATTGTATGGCCACTGCAATTTATAAAAGAAGTAAAATTATCTTCTAGACCAAGGACATTTAATATTTTTTCATAGCTTCTAAATTTGGAAAAAGCTATTACCCTTTCAAACATTTTTGTATAAACTTCTAAAATGTATTATAATTTTAAATGTTTTTAAGGAATATATATTTAGTTCATCAGGACTGCATGTAAGGATTAAATCTCTTTTCACCAAATGGATGAAGCTACAGGTTTTTTACCTTTCTCTGAAGAATTTGTCTACTGTCTACTCTGACAGCGTAATCAAACTTACCTGATAGACTGCCGTTCTTCCACGTTCTTCCAATTGTATCACTTCTGAAATTTATTTCTAAGATAGAAACTTAGGAGAGGAGGAGAAGGGAAGCATCTAGAAAAGAATTAAGATGTGGGCCGGGGACTTAGCTCAGTGGTTCCACTGCCCGCTTTGCAAGTACAAGATCCTGAGTTCGATCTTGGGTACAAAAAAGAACCACCAAAACCCAAAGAATTGAGATGTTCTATGTGCTTGTACTAACTAAATTGTGCATCACGCTTGGTTTGGTTCCTGGAGGTTTGCATATATCCAAGCTGTGCACCAGAGGATAAGAGTATGACAGAGACCCCTTCCTTTTTTATAGCTGGAGAAGTTATAAAAGGGCTGTGCAGGGGAGGGCTTGTCTCAGGTGTGCAAGCACACCATGTTTACGATGGTCTTCTGCCCTGGGGGGTCAGGGAAAGACTCATTTGGAGCTGCACCATGCTCTGGAGAGTTGTGTACAGCCTGGGAGGTGTAGTTTCCCAGGGGATAACACTCTTCACTAGTGTCAGCAAAGTGCTTCTCCTGGGTCAACCTCCTGAGGTGCACAAGGGCTCTGGTGCCAACAGCAGGTAAGGACATCAAACAGCTTTACCATGTCATGCAGAAATCACAGACTTTTAAAACATTAATACTAAGCCACAAATGGCAGTGCAGGAAACAACACCATAGGCCACATAAACACTTTTGCTAAAACTTCAGCAAGCTGATCTTGGCAAATTAAAGACAAGCAGCATGTCTGGGAGTGTGCCACTCAGGAGGCTGAAGCAGGAAGATTGTAAGTTTGAGGCCAGCTTGGGCTATGTAGGGTTAAAAAAAAAAAGCAAAAGTTAGTATAAAACTTCACAACGATGTAAAGTTTCTGTCAGGAATTGTCATTTTTTTAAACAATTGAAAATAAAGAAAAATTAGGTGAATAAGAGATTAAAGGACAAATAATAGAGCATCTCAGTGGATGAATTAATACTCCATAAAATTTTACATGTATCTTGATAAAAATCACAGAATAATGGAAGAAAGAAAGAGATCGCGATGTGCTATATGTGTGCCAACCAACTCCCCACAAGGACGTGAACATTATGCACTACACACAGGTAAATTTTAAGCTAAAATTTAAAAAATGAAAAATAGAAACTAAAAGTGCAAACAAGGTTCAAATTGTATAAGTGATGATGGAAAGTAGAAAAGGTATAAAGGAGTAGGGGAAGTGGAAGGGGAGGGAAAGGAAAGAAGGGAAAACACGAAAAAGGGAAAAAATGGAAGCAAAGTGTTTGTAAATAGGGGGAGAGAGGAGGGAGTGAAGGGAGGGCGGGGTGGAAAAGTAAACACCAAGACCTGCCGTGTAAAGGTACAAGAGCCCAATGAGGAACGTAACTGTACCATATACCTAAAAATTACCAATGAACTTAATGAAAAATAGGAAAAGTTCCTGCACTTATTTTATGAGATATAACTATAATCTTTTTTTTTCTGGTACCAATGATCAAATTCAGGACATTACACTTAAGGGGCAGGTGCAGTGCCACTGAGCTAAATTCCTGGCCCCAGTGTATCTATAATCTTGATGAAAATAAAAGCAAATCTATAGGCCATTTTCATGAATAAACGTAGAATTAAAAATCCTTCATAAAATACTTGTGAACTTGACAGGCATGGTGGTGCATGCCTGTAATCCCAGCACTTGGGAGGCTGAGGCAGGAGGATTGCTGTGAGTTCGAGACCAGCTTTGGCTGCCTAGTGAGTTCCATGTCAGTCTCAACTACATAGTGAGACCTTGTCTGAAACAAAACAAAACAAAAACAACCAAACAAAAATATTTGTGAACTAAATCTAGGAACATATATAAAATAAGGCTTTTCTAAGAATCTTAGGCTGCTTTAATATAAGACAAAAATTTAATATTATCTTTCACAGTAACTAAAAATAAATTATATAACCCTCTGAATAGCTTTCTGTTAATCCTGTCTTAGGAGTCGGAATTCTGTCTCCGTGTTCTCCCTTTCTGCACACACTCAGAGATGTACTCTGCCCTCTGCTTGGGTGTCTCTATATTCCTGGAGACTGCCTGCCTGGTACCTCCCCAGCTGTCCATTTTTCCCTGACCAGCCATGACTCAGTGATAAGTCATTTCCACCTCTGATTTGGCCTGCACCATGCATGACTGAATCCGCACTCAGGAGGCCTTAATAGGAACAAGCTTTACTTAAAGGAGTAGCTCTGTGGAGTGGTCCTGAATAGGGAAATGCAGTTAGAAAGAAACGGGACATGATGCTGAAGACAGAAAATGTTGATAGACATGTGGCTTTCCATTCTTTCAAAGAAAATCTACATCTGTCTATGAGAAACTTCAGGAAGACTTATTTAAGCATAAGGAAACATCACTAATAAAATGTATCCTAGTGATTTTATCTTAACTAATAAATATCTTCAATAATCTTACTTCCACATGAAGTCCCATTCTGATGTCCTGAGGTTCAATTTCGATGTACAAATATTTCAGGGACACAGTTCAACATCTCGACACACTGATGCTCTGCACACATGCCTTTTTGTAGGGCAAGTGATCAACAAGCTCTTATCCCCTCCTGCTGACCAAGTTTCCAGAGCTGTATTTATAAACCTCGGGATGTTCCTGTGGCTTAACTGCAAATGCCCCTGAAGCCGAGAAGAGGGATGGTGATCTGTGGGAGTGAAACACCCGCAGCAGGAGCACGGACTCAGGTTTACTGAGTATTTCGTCCATAAGTTTCCACCAAAAGCGACAGAAGTCACACTGTTTGTCTTCATATAGTCGATTCCACTAACACTCAACATTTAAAGTATATTCTCAAATATTTCCCCAACTCAGCTTCAAAAAGCACAACTGCTATGACATTGCTAAACAATTCTTTGAAACGTCTTTCCTAAACCTAGCCCTGTGAAAGCTCACAAATATATTTTTTCCTTTTCCAGCTTTAGTAAGTACCTGCCCTGTTCTACCCAGCAGATGCCCAGCTTTAAAACTCTTACTTTATGACAAAGCTCATAAGGAAGCTTCTCCATTAGCATAAATAACTGCACAGCTGTTTAACGCTGTGCTTCTTTGTTGGCTTAACAAAGAGTTGTGCAGGTGGTAGGTTCCTGACCAAAGGACCCTGGATATTATGAAAATGTGACTGGAGTAATAAAAACATTCACACTAGAGAGAAAGTTTAAAAAGAGCATATGCTAAAGTTTTTTTACAACGAATATTTTCTTTGAAACCAGTTATATGCCGTTCTATTATGGCAAGTTGATATTTATGCAGTCATTCAAGCAGATATTGGCTTTTATACATCCTGCTTAGGTTCAACTGAAAGCTGGAACAAGAATATTCATTCTGTGAAATGACTGCAAATGGAAACTCTTTAAACTTGCACAGGCTGGATACATGTGGTTTTGCATAGAGAATGTTCAGAGTCTTGTAATTACAGAATCTAATTGGTATCTTGAGTGGAAGTGTTTTCCGATCACAGGTTTGTTACCCCGGGGTGGAGTTTTCAGTGCAGCCTGTATATAATCAGCCAGATTGAGCTCAGCAGCATGTTCTATGGTCTGACTACATTTTCTCAAGGGCTGTTCCTGCAGCCCCATCTCTGGTGGCCACGCCAATCACTGAGAAACAATGTTGGGCAAGGAGCTTGATCTTTCAAAGTTTCTCATTCAACATCTGTCCCATAGAGAGAGCAGAACCCCATAATTGGTAGGATAGTTCTCGGGAGCAAATAAGGTAAATTGGAAACAGGTGCATTACGAACTAAACTTCTTACCCCAGACCCGCACACCATGTTTCCCCTCCGATCCAGCACCCACTCTCTGGAATAATCTTAGGTCTCAGCAATGGAAGTCACACTTTCAAAAGAACATAACCAGTTTCTGATCCATGTCTCTTTCCTCACCTGCTCCAAGGCAGGTGGAAGCGCGTGATGGAACAAAGCTGCTCTGTTCATGGCAGCTGGGAAGCGGAGCAGGGGAACTATTGAGAAACAGATCAGGGACCATATGTATCACCCAAATTACAACTATGTGGCCCATCTAGCCACACACCCAGTTCACTAATCTATGAAGTTGACTCATCAAGATTAACTCTCACAATCCACCCCTTGTCAAACTCATACCCAAATATACCTGCTTAAACTATACTTAACCACAAAATACAGACAATGGTGAGTTCATAATTCTTCCTAACATAACTATCCTGCATAGAACTGGAAACATAGTAATCCCCTCCCCCAAGGTCACAACAGCTTCAACATTTTTGAAAAGTCCAAGTCTCTTCAAAGCCTCAAGGCAAACTCCTAGCTGTGAACCTGTATCACAATAACAGTATAAGCTATATAATCCCAAAGTAAAATGGAACAAGGAAAACATATCACTCCAAAAAGGAGAAGCAGGAAGATAGAAAAGGATTAGACCCAAGCAAGACCAAAGCCCAGTGTAGCAAACATTAAGTCCTGTAGCTCCATATCTGGAGTCCTGGGCACACAGGGATAAGATGTAAATTCCAGAAGGATGAGGAGGCCCAACTATGGCTCACTGGTTGCAGCCATGTGGCCTCTCTCTTAGACTGGCTTCACTCATGAGCCACGGCTTTCCTCAGAAGACATTCCAAATTCTTGGCATTTCCAACTTCCTGGAGTCTTCTTTGTGTTCCTCTACACAGCTTCATGCACTGGCCTCTCAGGAGCTCCTTGCCTGTCTTCTCAGGCCTCCCTTTGAAATGTGGGTCCAAATCTCCCTGACCCTACAATTCTTGCATTCTACATGCCAAGAAAACTAACATGACATGGGTGATTCCAAGGTCGGCACCAGCTTGGGCAGTAGTCAACCCCTCTTTGCCTATGACAGCAGAACTGCCAGCTTGCCTGGATTGTCAAGTTTGTTGAAACAACTCCTGGGAAACAGTTCCCTAGGCAACCCTTCTTGAGCACGTGGACTCTTTTCTCAAATGAAATGTTGATGCTTTTGTAACCTTGAGTCTTCAATGGGTGATGTCTTGTGGATTCCTAAAATGCCTTCAAGAGCTTTATTCTTGTCCCCATGCAAAATACTTGGCTTCTTTTTAATGGTTAATGGTGCTAATCTCTGTAGCAGCCACACCTTCATTGGCTCTAATAGTACATGTGGTTCCTTTGGGCCCCAAATTTAATTGTTTTCAAAATTTTCTGCTGTGCCTTTTGCCCCCAGATCCTCACTATGAATCTGCCTGAAAGCAGTCAACAGTACATGTGTTATAGCCTGAAGATTTGAGTGTCTTGAAATTTCCTCCACCAGAAAATTAGCCCACTGTCCTTAAATCTCAGTCTCCTCCAGATTCTAAGTTCGGGGGGGAAATATAGATGAATTTTTCTACTGGAGTGTGACACACATGGCTTCTAGTATAAAGGCCAATGTAGTCCTTTTCCAAACTGTAAACTTTTCAGTCTGGCTTTTACTGTCTGAATTCTATCAACGTTCTGATCTTTTGAGCTCTGACCAGAATCACTCCTCAGGTTATCTGCATCCTTGGCTTCTCTACCCCAGGTCTTCAAACCTTTCCAAACTCCTCCCACACACCGGTTCAATGGCTTCTAAACTGCATGGTCAGATATAACCACAGGAATGACACCTCTTCTCTAGTATGAGTTTTCTGTATTTCTCAGTTTTCTCATTGCTGTGAGCAAATACCAGATTCCTATAATTTAAAGCAGAAGAGATTTAACTTGGCTTATGATCGCACAAGTTTCAGTGGCTGGTCAGCTGCCTCCAAAGCAGACACATCTTTGCAGAAGGACAATGGTGAAATAAAGCTGGTTAGTTCACGATGGCCAGGAGGCAGAGCAGGGGTCAGTGCCAGAGAGGTATGGACAGGGGACCATATATAACCCCTGAGGTCACATCTCCAGGACTCAACCAGGATTCTATTTGCTGGGTGGTTCTTAATCCACTGAAACTGGTATTTCAGGATTAAGGATCCCTTTTTCTAGACTCCAATATTTTTGGGGGGTGTAGAAAGGTGACATCATGTCTTTGGTTTCATGGCACATGGTACAAGAGACACTCAGAAGATGTTGGTCAAGGTTACAGACTTTTAGCTGGACAAGAATCATGATACTGTATTAACTTACTGTACAGCTAATGACATTACTGTGTCCTCGAAAATGGCTGAGAGTAGACTTTACCTGTTCTCTTCCCTCCAAAATAAGTATACATGTGTCAGTTAGGTTGACTTAACCTTTCTACAATGTAGGTAGAGTTCAAAATAACATGCTGTACATGATAATTAAGTGCAACCACTGTTTGTCAATTTAAGTATATGAGTTAATGAAGCCAACAATATCTTGTGAATGACTATTGAATGAATCAATGAATGGTGTTCCACCAATCAAAACTCCTAGTGGTTCCAAAATTGAAAATAAACTCACTACCTAATGTGAAAACTTCTGCACAGTCCTCCCCCATCTCAAGCTGGGGGCCAAGATCCTCTCGTGACGTCACCTGATACTTCGTCATAACATCAACCTAGCTGTTATTTGTTCCCAGGAAATGACTCGTGTTTTCCTGTTTGGGCTTAGTCTCTTTTCCTGCTTTATCAGTGCAGTCACTAAAACTTTGAAAAACATTTATTACTACACTCAGTTTGAAAAACTGTAAATCAGTGGATACTTTCAATCATAATTTATAAAATATGGTTAACATTTTGCTTATAAAATTCATGAATATGTGCTCCGAACATTATTTGTGACTTACTCAAAATCAGTTGAAAAACTTTTAATGATATACAGGCATGTGTTGCTTTACAGTATAGATACGTTCAGACAAATGTGTCTTTTGGTAATTTTGCATTGTAGGAATATCAGAGTGTTTTAAAGTAAACTTTGATGGTATTGCCTGCTGCACATGTAAGCCAGATGGTTTATATGAATACACAGTACAGCGTATTGTTCCTATGGCTGTGATAAACAAAGCAGGAGATTTAATCCCACACAAGAGAAAGTAATACAATCAGGAGACACATAAAAATGAGATATGTGAGGCTGCTTTGTGTAACACGGCATATTGTTTTACAATAAATGATTTTTTAATATGAGTAGAAGGAGTGCACTGTAAATGCACAGTATAGTAAATATATAACCTAGTAGCACATTTATTTATTATGACTATGTGTGCTATACTTTTATGTGATTGGCACTGCAGTAGGCTTTGTTTAAAGGATCACTGCCATAAACTTTGGAAGAATGCATTGCTCTAGAGAGTTGCAATGGCTGTGGCTTTGCCAGCTGATAGGAGTTTGTCAGGGTTCAGGACTAAAACGTTCCCCCAGAGTCCCATGTGTTCAGAGGCAGGGCTTTGGAAGGTGATTGGATCTTGGGGTGTGACACACGTCCAATGGCAGGGTACCGTCAGTCAGAAGGTGTGTGTCCTGGGAGTGTGATGTGGAAGGGTGTGTTTTTGTCCCGGACACACCCTTCTCTCTGCTTCCTGGTCACCAGCTTCCTTTCCTCTGCCACCCCGTTTCTGCCTTGGAGTCAAACAACCATGAACTGAAATTTCTGAAACTATGAGCTAAATGAACTTCTCCTCCTTTAGCTACAGGCTGTGGGTACTTTTCCCAAAAGTAGATGGGAAGGTGACTAATACAGAATTTCCCCCCTTAAAATCTACAGCATGG